CAGAGATCGTTGCTCAACCTCTGAGCCATGCCAGCCAGGCTTACCTCAATAAACGTAATTTTAAAAAATCAGCTTGCCAGGCAGAGAGATGGAGAAAGGGTACATGGGATAGGGACAATCAGAACAATTGCAGCAAATGCAGCATGTGTTCAGGGAACCCAGCCGGCTTTCTGTGGCTGCATCAGAGAGTGGGGTCCGGCAACTAAGAGGTGGGACTGGAAGGAGAAACAGAGATAAGATTGCCCTCTGAGCCCGCCCTTCTTTGCTTGCCAAGTTCAAGGTCAAAGACCTCTTGCATACCTGCCAATGCATTAGTAATGAGATTGGAGGGAATGGCACCATCCTGTCTCCTAGCACCCAACTTGAACAATATGAGACCTAACCCATGTGTTCCAGCTCAGCCACATTTTCAGGATGAATGGGGAATGAACAAGAGGAGAGAGAGGGGTAAGCTGGAGACCCTGCGGACAGAGGCTGAAACCCAGGCCTGCAGGGACCCAGTCGCCCACTTCTCTGCCTTCACTTCTGCCCCAGGATTCTGTCACCCTCCACCTTCCTTTGCTCCCAAATCAGAATATTTTGGAGGAGGGCTTTGGGAGTCTGAGAGGGAAAGAACGTAGAGGCAGATGAGCAGCCAATGCCAAGGATCCATTAATGGCTTGAATTTAAAAAGAGCAAATTAGCTTTGCACTATGTTTGAGGCGTGCCGAGTTTGGGCAGTCAAGCCATATGTACGCAGAAATAGTGTTTCTATCGCTTTAGAATTGTGTTCCTCATCCATGTGTCCATCCATGGAGGAGCAGGCAGTCCTGTGGGGTTTGGAGGGATGAGACCCTGGCATCCGTGCTGTGATGGCACCGGGCACGGTCAGCAAAGAGCTCCCCTCCTGTTCTGAATGCCAGGAGGCATCCCTCTCGGAGCCGCACGTCCCTGTCGGACACTCACTGGCCAGAACGTCTGTCCGGATCCTTCAGTTGCCTGGCTCCTAGTGCCACTCTGTGTACGGGGCTTTCCCCCATGTCCTTCCTTCAACATGTGTTTTCTTTGGCTTGGATTTCAGAGGCCAAACTCAGCCCCTTAGATAAATACTCGGGCAGCTGTTTAAAACAAACCCTCTGTTATTTATTTGTCATGTCTGTTACTGAGAAAGCGACAAGAATAAGTCCAAGTGGAAACCATGTGTGCTGTCCGAATAGAAATCTGCACAAACCTGCACAGTCCAACGACATCGTGTTTTTAGAGCTAGCCGCCCTCAGCACACTCCTGGCACAAGAATGGTCTATGCCAGACAGGCCCAGGGTGACAGCCCCTGCTGTCCAGGCCTACATGCAGGCATACCCTAGAGACTCATTACACTGTGCCTCACCCATATTTCTCTCTCTTTTTCCCCTTAAAGGTGTTTTTAACCCACAGGAACACTCCCTTATAGATTTTATGGTCTATTACATTTACATTCTTTAAGATTCCACAGTTATTTTATCAGAATTTACTAATTAGGGAAAACAATTTGACTCAGAAAAATAGGACTCAATTCCAGAAAAAAGGACTGGAGAAAAAAGTGTCCCAGTAGTAAAGGAATTCTTGTAATCCTTCCCTGGGATCTTGGAAAGTCAAATAAATTAGACTAGAGTTGGTTTAGAGCAGTGGTCAACAAACTGGAGCTTGAGAGCCACATGCTGCTCTGTTGACTGAGTTTGCCGACCGCTGGTTTAGAGGAAAAGGAATCATCTTGGAGGGAAACATCATAGTATTTCCTGACAGTGTTTCAGTTTGATGGTCCTGCCTCCTGTCTGAAGTTCTAGACCCAAAGTTGAACAAAATCTTTCTTGGGAAACACCGTGTCTAGACCTGCAGATCACTATTAACACTGTGAATGTAATACTGAACTTATACCAGGCGATGCAGCATACATGGTGATGCTGGAACAGGTATCATGATGCAGAGGTTTCCCGAGTCAGAGAGAAACAGCACAGCTTGAGTTATAAGTTAGGTATCTGTTGCCCTCAGCAAGGCAACCGCTGGTGGTCCGAGCTTATGGGAGCGTCAGAAACCAGGGCACCAGGCTTTCACTCCATGCACATGGATGGAGCGGCTGGTGGTGTTTGATTCTGCTGCATGGATATTTACCTTTGAAACACTACGAAGAATATCATTTCCTAAGAAAACTGGTAAATTTGTTTAGATGTCCAGTAGTCAGAAGCACTCTCATATTTTCTATGAAGTCCCTAAAATCTATTTTGTTATCCATTTCTATTAACTAATAAATTTCCCTTTTTTTTTTTAATGGAAATACTAGAATGCCAAAGTAATCCTATATAGTAAAAGGCTAATATGCAAATAGACCAAACGGCAGAACGACTGGTCTCTATGATGTGCACTGACCACCAGGGGCAGATGCTCAGCGCAAGAGCTGCCCCTGGTGGTCAGTGCACTCCCACAGGGGAGAGTCACTCAGCCAGCCAGAGGCCAGGCTCACAACTGGTGAGTGCAGTGGTGGTGGCAAGAGCCTCTCCCTGACTCTGCACAAGCGCTAAGGATGTCTGACTGCTGGCTTAGGCCCACTGTCCTTAGGAAACAGGCCTAAGCTGTCAGTCAGACATTCCTCCCCCCACCCCCTCAGGGCTCCCAGACTGTGAGAGAGTGCAGGCTGGGCTGAGGAACACCCCACCCCCACCCCCTGAGTGTATGAATTTTGTGCACTGGGCCTCTAGTAAAACATATTTGCTAATGCTCACTTTACTTCTGGCTAGGTTCCTGTAACATTCGTTTAGGTCTGGCCAACTGATGATTATTTCTAATATTTTTGAAGAAGTAAGTCTTGTGAAGGTGCTACAAAGTCCTACTCCAGCTGTCATTTCAAGGAGAGAAGCATAGGAGCCTGTGATTTATGCCAGCAGCGTTTTAAATTGTTTCTTACCTGGAACATTTAGACTGCTTTAAGGAAACATTCCATTTAATCAAACAGAAAAGGTCACCTGATCTTTAATTCAAGGACTTCTCTCCTATCTCCATGGGCAAATCTTTTTGCTACTTCAATCGTAGCATCTCCTGGGCCGCTCATATTCACCAACAGCTCTTGATTTTCTCATGTCAGGGCTGAGTGAGTTGTTCCCTGGACGTTCACTTCCTATTTCAGGATAGCCAATGTGATGCAAGGACACCAGGCTGCCTTAGACATTGCATTGTTGGCATCGATTCTTGGCATGGACACCAGGTAGTTTCAGTGGAACATGGTGGGCCTGGCCTGGGAATCCAGCTCTGCTGTTCCGTTGGCTGTGCGACCAGGGGCAGGTTATGGAGCCTTTTCCATCCTTCCTTTTCTCTCTCCGGTATGGAGATCATACCTGTCCATTGGGCAGGGAAGCTGTGAGGCAGAAACGGATCACATATTTTATGTACCTGGCATTAATAACTAAGCATTATTTTATCTTCCAAAACGTGTTCAGTTTGGCTTGCTTATTGCTTTCTATACTAAAACCAAACTCCATGAACTCTTTTTCCCCCACAAACATTCTCTTTGATGACCCACATGTTCATTTTTGGGCAGCATGCTCTTGGGTGTCTCCAAAGCTACTTGGGTGTTCACAGCACTGGGTCCCCGAATGCTCCCGGGCCTGACCAGAGTAATTCCCACTCTCCCTTGTTTGGTGTGTTTCTGACACTAGGGTCAGCGGCTGCCTAAGCTGCTGTTCCTTGGAAAACTTTCTTGGATAAGTGTTAACTCCTTTGTCCTTAAAAAAGCCACACATTGAGCTTTTGCAGTATATTCTTAAGGTACTTTCTTCCATCTGACTTCCTCTTGCCTCCTGCCTTTGACCCAGGCCTTCCTTCTGCCGGCCACCATAGTGCTGCCTCACTGCCATTGTCCAGGTAACTCATTCCCCCGTGTGTGCACAGGGCGGGGCCCACCCTGCGCTCCTGCAGAGCCAACCATGTTAACCTCATCTTTTGGTGGAAGGTGGGGGCGGAGGGGTGGAAAGACATGCTCTAGCTCTCCCAGGTGTCAGAGAGCTGGAGGGGAGCATGGGCCCATGGGCCAGCCATGCCAGCCAGGCAGATGTTTTTCTGAAAAGCAGTCTTCTTGAAGGAGGTGTCTTCTGGAACAAATGGCCGGTCCTGTTGTCATCTGCCCAGGGTTCCATGTTCTTGGAAATCATCATCTTCACATGACATCCAGCACCTTGCATTTCATTTTTTCTTCTCCGTGCTATGTAACTGGGCCCCTCGGGGGAAGTGTACATGCCGCGGGAGGCAAGAGACTGTGTAGAAGGAAGGATAGAGGAGTTACACCACCTCCAAGGTTGATGGATTTAACACACTTGCATTCATTCGGATTGTTTCTGCAAGATACTGTGCGTGTCCTCGTCTCCATGCTCAGAATTGTGAAACCTCTACTGATCCCTGACTCTGGAGGGAGCCGTCGTGTTTCTTTTTATGACTGTGCCAGGGCCATGTGACATGGGGCTCGTCATCAGTCAGGGGTAAGGAAAGGGAGACCCGGTGACATGGAACTATGCCCTCACAGATGTTCAACGATCCCTTGTCACAAAGGTCGTGGCTCTTGCACTGTGCTCTTTTCCTTTATTCTAGGAATCCATTTCAGCTGGAGAAATGCTCTGGTTAATGACAATGGATATATATATGAAAAAAAGAAAGGAAGGAAGGAAGGAAGGAAGGAAGGAAGGAAGGAAGGAAGGAAGGAAGGAAGGAAGGAAATCAGCCCTGGCTGGTTTGACTTAGTGGATAGAACATTGGCCTGTGGACTCAAGGGTCCCCAGTTCCATTCTGGTCAAGGGCACACGCTCTGGTTGTGGGCTTGACCCCCAGTAGGGGGCATGTAAGAGGCAGCCGATCCATGATTCTCTCTCATCATTGACGTTTCTATCTCTCTCTTCCTCTCCCTTCCTCTCTGAAATCAATGAAAATATATTTTAAAATAAAAAAATAAATTAAAAAAAGGAATTCAAATTAGTAATACCCTTCTCTCTGTGTGTTTCCAGTCTGTGCCAAGCAGGTGCCCGACGAAGCATCTTGCACTCGGGATCCCAGCCTTCCTAACGCGGCCGCGCCCAGCAAGCTAATGTCCTCCTTTCAGCAGCACACCAAAAAGGCCCTGAAGCAGGTGAGCCGGCGGCCGCGGCCTCTGTCCTGTGCTTCTGCCACGGAGGCCCCGGGTCTTGTGTGGAGAAAGTAAAATAAATAAGGACATAGCCACCAGAAGGCAATACAAATGCCCGGATCCAACCACTTCCATAATAGTTAGTACAGTCATTTTAATCAGGCCCACAGCTACGAGAGGCTTGTGTGCACACTTTGAGGTGAAAGAGGAGAGGAAGATATGCCTGGAAACATATAAAAAAAAAACTTTGTATTAAGATTTTTGTGTGAGTGGGAAGCATATTGGGTTCATAAATGCATAGCTTGTTTTGAAAATAGTGTCTCTGTTCATTGTCTCACTAGAGGCCCGATGCATGAAGATTTGTGCAAGAAGCCCTTTCTTCCCCTAGCTGTTGGTACTGCCTTCGCCCTAGCAGGAGCCCCAAGAGACAACAGATCAATCATTCTCTCTCATCATTGATGTTTCTCTCTCTCTCTCTCTCTTCCTCTCTGAAATCAAAGAATGAATATATATATATATATATATATATAAACAAAACCCACAGATAACTTCCTTCTCATTACTGAGATGCATTGTTACAAATGAAGAAAACAGTAATTGTGGCTCACTTGCATCTAGAATATCCGTCTTCAGTGAGTGTGATTTGGTGCTGAATAGAGCTGCAGTGGCATATTGTCCTATCACATCAGGAGTCTTGACCTGTGTGTCCTTGTGCAGAGATAATGGTGAGAGGTAATGGTTACAGGGTTGAACTCTGGCCTCTGACAGACTCTGGTTTCCATTTTTGCTACTTTCTTGTGTGACTCTGGGCAAGCCACTTGTATTCCCCAAATCTCAAATTCTATTTCTAGAAAATGTGGTAATGATCTGAGGACTGAGTGAGGTGGTGCACTGGCAGCACATTGGCGAGTGAGTGTCTGGCCCACAGTAACCCCTCAGTAAGTGTCAGCCACAGCCGTTACACTGCCCCTGCGCCCGGAAGGAAAGGAAAGGATGCTCTGGTTAGATGGGGACCTTGTGCAACGGTCATCCTAATGATGTTAATGAGTGCAAGGCTCACATGTTAAACCCTGCACTCCTGGTTTTCCCCTGGGTGATGGCTTTACTCTGACATTTTTATTTGGGTCCTTGAATGATGCTCTCTTCCACCTCACCTCTTGTGGATCCTGACCAAGTCAAGTGTCACTCTAGGGATACAGTATTTATGACAAGAAAAGAGATACCATGTTTGTAAATAAAGTTCAACATTTTTTTAGAAGCTCCATCAATCATTTTTTTTAAAAGTTCATTCAATCTGTGAAACTCATATTCACATCCAATTCCCTAGATTTAGACGGTCTCTACCTACTTTTCCTCTACTTCAAACAAAGCAACTTAATATTGTTTTACTGAATTATGTTACCTGTCATTTTATATTAATTACTGAAATTTCAAGTATTTCCATTCATGGGGATTACATCTGTGGTAGCAACATAGGTCAAATAATCTTGCCGTTTATATACTTGCTCTTGTGAAATGGTATAGATGCCAAAGAACAAACTTGAATTCAGTGTTGAGGTCCCATGTCAGTAGCTGAAATAAAGGGTGGGTGATGGTACGGAAGCCTAGGTAGGGCTCATTGAGGTAATAAAATGCTGACCAGGATAGAGCAAAAGACACATAATAGGGTACTGGTAGTCATAACTTTTAAGAAACGTAGGCACGGTCGTAAGTGGAACTCATGCTTCCGAGGAGCAGTGATTTAGAAAAAGTGCACACCATGAAACCTTCCTGTGTGTGAATGGAGAAGGAAATTCACATCCCTGCACTGTCATGTCTCATTGCTTTTTACTCCCTTCCTTTCAGTTTCATATCATTTGAACATTTTTTACAACGACTGAAATACTGAGCAGCTCTGACTTAGTGGTGTTTTATGTTATTTTATTGCAGAGCATGTGCTCATGGGAAGTTTTTTGTTTTATTTTTTGGTAGAGCATGCGTTCATGGGAAGTGGCACTTGCTTGCTTAGGCTCTAAGCCTCCTCTTAAGAAAACGTGTTGTGAAAACTTCTGAATACCCAGAAAGAGCTATTTATTAATGTCCCAATACGTCCTATTGTATAACCAAGTAACAAATGAGTCGCCAGGGGAATTTGGCCCGCTGCATAGCAGCTATGCTAATGTTTGGTTAATAATCAAATTCCTATCAGAAATACGTTTAGGAGAAAAGCTGTTCTTGCAGAATGCTGCTCGGATTCCCTGTAATTGCTGACTTTCTTCAGGCAGCATTTTATGAGTTGACTGAACACGAGGCATTGTAAATTGTAGCAGCTCAGCAAACACACAGCTCACCTTTCTTTTGGGTAGTTTACGGGCCCTAAGGATGTGGTGTATTGCTGTTATGTGTCCACCGATAGCCACATATTTGTGTTCTGTGTTTGTGAAGGGATGTTTTGTGTATATCTTTACATGCACAAATCATCATTTCGTGAAAGTAGGGCCAGCTGAATGACCCTCATAATAGTCTCATCAGCTGACATTTACTTTTCTGAATCCTAGACACCATGCTCTGCATTTCACACATACTGTGCCGTTTATTCCTTAGAAGCAGGGACTAGCATCCTCATTTTTCAAATTAAGAAACTACATTAGGTAACTTGCCTAAGATCATCCAGGGAGTAAATCTTGGAGATGACATTTCAGCCCAGAATCATCATTTCTGATACTGCCCCCTTATTGCATACTGCCTTTTAGCATCCTCCTATATAATAAAGCGCTAATATGCTAATTAGACCGAACAGCAAAACAACCTTCCGGAAAACATTCCGGATGAAGCTGGGGCTGTGCATCAGGCCTCTAGTATGGCATATAATAAGATAACAAATGTTTGATAGTATTCAAGAAAATTGACATTTTTGAATATTCGTGATAGTAAGGAAAAGAAAATGGTATAGTCATTAAGAATTTTATTTCTAGCCCAGCCAGTGTGCCTCAGAGATTGAGCATTGATTTGGGAACCAGGAAGTCACCAGTTCAATTCCAGTCAGGGCGCATGCATGCCTGGATTGGGGGCTCGATCCCCAGTGGGGGCATGCAGGAGGCAGCTGATGGATGATGTTCCTCCTTCATCAATGTATCTTCAATCTCTCTGTCCTTCTCCCTCCCTGTCTGTTTCCAAATACAGACTGTTTATGGTTAGAATCAGCATGTATTAGTGGTAGGCATGCAGATATATTAGCTCTTATCATTTTACTAGACATTTATTCTGAGTCAGGAGGACTTTGGAAGTTTAATTCTATATTCACTAGTGTAAGACTCTTAGAAGTAGGTAGGAAAAAACACCACCACCCAAATCTAATCGCTTTATACTCATAAATACAGTGAAACATAATGATGTAAAGCAAATATCCCCACAAAATAAGCCAGATAGATTTCCCAGTCCCGAGCCCACACTGCCACCCTAGTCTGTCACTGTAGAGGGTTTTTACTGGGCAGTCCCTTGGACGGCAGTGTATCTATAGGCTGGTACTTATGGAGACATAATGCCTCTTGGCTACTGACATCGATTGTCCTCCCTGTTCCTAAATACTTGCGACCCCTTCTACTTCTTAATCATCGAAATGCTAGTTAGCATCACATGTTGGGTGAAATCACATGAACAATGCGATGTTATATCGGCATAAGCACCGTCAGGAGCTCCTGGAGAGAAGCTGATTGCTGATGATGACCTCCTTCCCTGCCTTGCTATTTCAGTTGTAATGATCCCAAAATGTATGAAATTAATTCAGTTTTGAATTTTGAAGAAGGTTAATAAAGAAAGAGTAAGCTGTGAAAGTTTGTAAACAGAATCAAAGGAAAGCTTGACGTAGGATGAGGTCTGCTATGGGAGGTGACCTGGTGGGGAACAGACCTCTCCCTGTGGCTCCCCAGGTTTGGCTCCCAGCATTATTTATTGGGTATAGGATTTATCCATCAAGTTGCACATCTGGTTTCCCTCTTCACATCCCAAAGCAGATATATTCTTGGCATTTTGCTTTAGCTTTGTACGTACAGCCAATACTGTGAAATTCCAAAGGTTTTGTTGCCTGATAGCAGTTTCTGACATTTAACGCACTAGCAACAATGCGAGTTGGTGGTGCCTGACTCAGCCAGCTGTTTCGTGGGTGTGCGTGTCTGCAGTGATTTTAGCATTCGCAGCATGTGGTACTTTGGGATTTTTCAGGGAAGGGCTCATTACATTCAGTGCATTTGTAAGTTACATTGTCGGAGTTGTTTTTCAACTAAAATAAAGCAGGTGTTGCTTGTTTATGCAAATCCCAGCTAATACAAGAGCCCCTGGCTCTAAGTTTTATTTTTCATTCCAGAGGAAATGAGAACTGTGTCATGTTTGCATAGTTATCTGACAGCCTTTCTCTTTATCAATTTAAATATTTACTAGGTGTACCTGTTAATAATGCAGATTTTGTAATCAAAGAAAGCATGATAATTTCAAGGGAAACATCAAACATGCTTTATTCAAAGTAATGTCCATCGCTAGCTACACATTTCCCCCATCTTTCAGGTAATTTGTGGATACTGTCCCAATAGAATTTTTCTTGTTTTGAGGCAAATCATTCAGAGACCCAATTTTCCACTTCTTTCTATGTTTTAAAGTGCTGCTCAGAAAGGGTGTGTGCCGTCGATCAGAGCAAGTGGTAATCTGAAGGATCAAGGTCTGGTGAATACAGTGGGAAAGTTAATACTTCCCAGGCAAGATCTTTTAACGTGTCTTTGACTGGTTTTGAATTGTGTGATGGTGTGTCATCATGAAGCAAAATTACTTTGCCTTGTCTTCTGGCCCATTCTGGTAATTTCACAATCAAAGCATGGTTCAAATTGATTATTTGTTGTAGGTAGCGATCAGTGTTAATCGTTTCACCTGGTTTTAGAAGCTCATCATATACCACACCTTCCTGATCCCACCAAACTAAGAGCATTGTCCTCTTTGCGAAGCCATTTGGCCTTGCAGTCAATATTGATGGTTGA